GAATCAAAACAAAAGTGCAAGAACATTTAATGAGCCTTGCTGTGGATGCTCTGGAAGTTCTTGATGAAACTGTTGAGCAAAGTGTGAATGATGAGCAGGTTTTTGAAACTGACAGATCAGATCAACTGAATTTGACATTGGATAGTGATTAAACAAATGACTAATTTCAAGATTCTGACGAAGAAGAAATGGATCCTCAGCTTGACATGAAGACAAAATTGGCTGAATGGGCAGCTAGTCGGAATATCTCTGTCTGCTTTGTCAGAATTGCTGCACATACTTATAAATTAAGGTCTTAACTTACCAAAAGATCCAAGAACACTTATGTCTACTTTAAAAGACTGTGAAGTCAAAAAAATGGGGACTGGAAGTTACTATAATTTTGGCATTTGTAATGCCATATGTGCAGAGCTGAACGAGCAACAGCGGATGGGATTTCTGCAGGCTGGTGCAGCTCGACAATAGTCCTTGAAATTCCATTTCGCTTTCAGGTGACGGTGCTCATCCCAATATTTTACATGTGGAAAGAACCTGTACTTGGTAAGCCCCAGGCTGAGGCAGTGGGTGGGGTCATAACTCATTGCAGTCACCATGTCAACAGCACGACCAAAGGTATGGGGGATCCAAAAGCTTTTCTCCCCACAACTTCACGGCTAAACTCAGAGACTGTTCAACAATCCACCAGCCGGCTAAATAGACACGTGCGCCCTTTCAGTGACTCACCAGGCAAGTTGTCGTCCCGTTGATAAAGGTCGCACAGCAGGATCCTTACTAGTTGCTCTTTGTTCATATTAGGCATTTCCTGGCATGTCTTAAAGGTGCAATAGGTGATTGTCTTCAGAATTTTTTTTTGTTATGCTGGTTGAAAGTCTCTTCACATCACGATAGCAATCATTAAGTTAAGTGGTCTAAATGTATTTATATATTGTGTGGAAGACGTAGGACCAAGAAATGTTCATCCAATCAAAACGCTCGGTCCGAGCAATAATAACTAAACAATACCAAACCAAACAATAATAACGAATCAGTCAATATACAGTAGATAGACCATGTTTTAGGTTAGATTATAAGAAAAAAAATGTTCAGTTTGAAAATAAATAGCTTATTAAGTCTAAGTATTAATTATTTGGTGCTATGCTGAAGACTAAAGCGAATATAAATATCTAAATGACTATTGAAACATTGTACACACTGTATGTTTCAGGAGTGACAACCGCATTTAGATGCGGGAGTGAGTCCCGTAAATTATCTTTCCATGTGTGTACAGAACAGCAGTCACTCCCACATTTGTAACAATAGCAACATTTTGCCATCTTGAAGGAATGAAAAAGAATTTAGCCATTTGGTATATGCCATTTTTTGGCTAAAGACTCTTTATGTATGTCGATTTTAACTAAACTACCACTGATAGACGTGCCACATTTTGTTTATGCTTGGGAGGCTGCTTTAGAGAGCGCTGTCATGCAGTGTAAGAAAGGACCTTATCGGTTTGTGCAGGTAAATAAATGATTGTTTTTAAAAATTATATATATATATATATATATATTTATAATGTGCCTTTAAGGACATTTATTGAAAAGGTTTTACTGATTTTTCTCTTTCAAATATCTTTTTACGCCAAATAGAAATTTTTTTCCTTGCACAAGCGAAGAACAGCACTGAGGATGATCTACCACCCACACCTCCCCACCAACTGAAAATTACAACCCAGAGGTTCACCACCAAGAGGCCGGATGGCCAGACTGAAACCGGACCTGCCACTCAGAGAGTCACTGCTACAGGACCTGCCGCTCAGAGATTAGCCACTTCTGATTCTGCTATGTTCATCAAACTCTTAACTCTGTTAGAAGTAAAGGAGACCCAGAGGGTACATAGCAGGATGTTAAATGCTTTGCTCAAGCATCATGATGAGTCTTTGCCAGAGGTTCCTGAGTCTTCCCTATAACAACAACTGAAGACATGGAAACAATGAATGAAAAGTTGCATGACCCAAGATTAATGTCCATTGTAGTAAGTTCATGTTCAGAGTTCACATTGCTTGCTGGTCTTATTTTTGTGTGGCGATCCAGGGCTTGAATTTCAATGTGGGTATTGTGCTTGCGTGCTCACTAAGACACGATTTCTGTTCATATACACCCAAAGCATGCGCACATAAAGCTGCCTCTCAAGACAGTGTGCGTCTACTGAATTGAGTTCTTTTTAGTGGCTCATTGCATGTACATTTTCTGATACACACAAAAATGTCAAATTGCCCATCTTGGCGAGTATTCTTATATATTACGCATATATTATATATTAAGTGAACATAAACAGTGGAGAAACAATGCATGTTTATTCATACAGTCGTGGTCAGAATTATTGGCACCCTTGGTAAATATGATCAAAGGAGGCTGTGAAAATAAATCTGCATTGTTAATCATTTTGATCTTTTATTTGAAAAATTCACATAAATCTAACCTTTCATTGAAGAATAAGAATTTAAAATGGGGGGAAATCTCATTATGACTGTGAAACAGGAAGCCATGGCTGGATAATTTCATGTTCATAATCACCCTGGTATGCTCAGAATTGTAAATATGAATGGGAATATACTTCACAGATATTTTACTTATAAGAATTTCTAGGGGTACCAATAATGTTCCAACGTGTATTTGAGAAAAACATTTATTACATAATGAGATTTTCCCCCATTTTGAATTGTTTTAGTTCAATGAAAGGTTAGATATGTGTTTATGTAGTATGTTGGACTAGTTTAAGTGTTTATGTAGTTTATAAAACCTTACTTGTATCACACTTGACGTGTTCATTGTTTACTCATAACCGGAGTGAATAATCATGCAGATTTACGTTACAAGCTTATAGAATTGTACAGTAAGAAAGTTATTTCCCTTAACCAGGAAATTAACGTCTTAGAATTGACAAGACAGTTGACCCTGAGTGGTCAGCTAAATATCTACAGTGGATCTAAAATATGAATAGTTAATTATAACTAGTTATGGTTAATTATTCATATTTCCCCATGAGCTGATTCGCTACACTGTATATACGTATAGGTAGATGCCCTATTAGTGGCTGTTTGTATGGGCCACGATATGCAAGCCGTCAGCCATATTGGAATGATCAGAGCCAGTCTGTTAACACTTGGGAGATGCAACCATAGTTATACACATTCAGCAATGATTTTGCTAAACTATCACAATACAACAAGATGAATCCGTTAACAAACAACATAAAAAGTTACTATAGTTTAAAAAGCTGTAATATTGAGTAATACATATCTAAGAAAAAAACAAACCAACACATTCTTACCTGTGAAAGTTTATCCAATTTTTCGGGAATTTAAATGTTGGCGTTTTTGCAACCAGAGGCTGCGCAATGTTGTGGTATCTCATTGATTGACAAAACTCATTGGTTTCTATTGTAAGTGACCACAAATGGACCGTTCTGAGATGGCGGACGCGTCGACATGTCTGGAGCAGTCAAATGTGGCATCTACCTACATATCTAAGTGTGTATCAGTATATTATATTGTAGCGTTCTGCTACTAATGAAATCAGTCGCACTGTAACTTTATTAAAGGGTTAGTTCACCTAAAAATGAAAATTAGCCCATAAATTACTCACCCTCAAGTCATCCTAGGTGTGTATGACTTTCTTCTTTAAGACAAATCCAGTCAGAGTTATATTAAAAGTGGTCTTTGATCTTTCAAGCTGTTTAATGGCACTCAGCGGGTGTTGCATGCTTCAGTCCAAAACCAGTTAGATAAAGATCGCCCTTCCATAAAAAAAAAAGTGACTCACACGGCTCCGGGGGGTGAACAAAGGCCTTCTGTAGCGAATCGATGCGTTTTTGTAAGATAAATATCCATATTCAAAACGTAATAATCACCTTAATGTAGCTTGCGTCAACAGTTGTACATACATAATTGTCTATATTATATATGGTGTTTTTGCTATTTTGTACATTGTCTATTTTGTATATTTGTATATTAATCTTCTTATTATCTGTGTCCTGTCTTGTCACTCTGTTGAACTGTGGAGCTTCTGTCAATAAAACAAATTCCTCGTATGAGTAAACATACCTGGCAATAAAGCTCATTCTGATTCTGATGCATCGTCCCTGTCAAATAAGTAAATGAAAAAAAATGAAGAAAAAAAAATTGATGCGGCACCAAAATGCAAAAGGGAGGGATTTTTTTCTATCACTTTCAACCTCAGGTCCCAGGTGGAAAAGAAAGTGCAATAAAATACATTTTATTCCAGTACACTTGGTACACTTCCATAATGTACTTTAAAATTTCTCTATTTTTGTGCACTACTTTTTGTTAATATACTAAAAATTATTCTTTAGTACTGCTTAAGATAATCTTTAGATCATCTAAGTGTACTCAACTGTGCTATTTTGGGACACCATGAATATGAACTAAAATGTGCTTTTAACATACTCTGTAAAGAAAAAAGAAAAAAAGTCATGTTTACTACAGTAAAACCATGGTTAATTTTCGTAAGGGATATGACAAGCACTAAACTCGTCCATCTCTGGCTCAGCACCAGCCAAAGCACGAAAGCATATTTGAATTTAGCAGTTAATCACACGACACACTGAACAATAAGCACACTGTTGTGATAGTACACGTTAAAGAGCTACTTTATGTCCATCAGATGTAAATGGCTTCTCTTCAGTGTGAATCTTCATGTGTTTCCTAAGATTTCCTTTTTGAGTGAAGCTCTTTCCACACTGTTGGCAGGTGTAAGGCTTTTCTCCAGAGTGAATTCTCGTGTGGTCATCGAGGTGTTGTTTAAATGTAAAACTTTTTCCACATTGAGAGCAAGTGTAAGGTTTCTCTCCACTGTGAATTCTCATGTGCTTGTTAAGGTTTGATTTTCGAATGAAGTTCTTTCCACACAGTTTGCAGGTGAAAGGTTTCTCTCCAGTGTGAGTTCTCATGTGGTCTCTAAGGTGTCCTTTTTGAGTAAAACTCTTTCCACATTGTTGGCAGGTGTAAGGCTTCTCTCCAGTGTGAATCCTCATGTGGTCATCGAGATGTTGTTTATATGCAAAACTTTTCCCACACCGAGAGCATGTGTAAGGTTTCTCTCCAGTGTGAGTTCTCATGTGAACATTAAGGTTTGATTTTTCAGTAAAACTCTTTCCACACTGTTGGCAGGTGAAATAACTTCTATTTGCTGTCTTTTGAGCTCTTTTTTGTGTATTTTCAGAATGAAAGTTAACTTCTTCAATGAGTTCTTGACTCTCCTCTTTCAGTGTCATCAGGTCTAATGCAGAAAAAGACAAATCCAGATTAACACCATTTTAATGGCACAAAGAACAAACATCAAAACCAACATGTAGATCTTATATGCACTGAGTGTTAAATGTCATTTCAAAACCTCTTCCCATTATTCGAAGTTATTATGATAAAAAAAGAGCAAAGTTTATTGTATAATCTTAGTTGCGTATGTTTTAATGCTCATTGTGATCTCAACATGACTGTTCACATGAGGCGACCTGCTCCATGTCAAATAAAACATTTTAATTACAAAACTCTTATGACATTCTTCAAAAATGCCATTCCTTTCTGTAGAGTTGAGCATTTTAATAAGGATCAGATGAGTGAGTTCAGCTTTGAGAATGAAAACCAACCTGTTTGTTCCTCAGTATCTTCATGTTTGACTCTGAATGTTTCTTCAATCTTCACGTCTTCACTCTCCTCTTTAATAAACTCCATCTTTGTTTGTTCCTCAGTATCTTCATGTTTGTCTCTGAATGCTTCTTCAATCTTCATGTCTTCACTCTCCTCTTTAATAAACTCCATCTTTATAATAGTGTCACGTGGATCTGTAAGAGATGAATAACAGATTTCTCAAGTTATCAATAACACAGATCTTCTGGCTTACACAAGCAAGTGTGAAGGGCTCTCAATTCACTACAGAGCATTTGTGACATTTCCAGTTAAATATTAAGTATCTTTGTATGAGCTGTTTTTTCCAGAAGAAAGAAATATGGTTCAATGATTAAAGCTGTACATGTTCGGTTTCATCAACCAGCAAAAATATGACAACATACTCAGGTGTTACACCTCATCGTTAGGAGTGAATGATGTTCAGTTTCTAAATATAAGGGGCTGTTTTACACCTGGTCACTTCATGCATTTTGTCTGATCGGATAGCTATCAGATCGTGTAAACACCAGGTGTAAATGCCCTCCAAAACGCATTCGAGACGGATATAAATCCAATCGCTCAAACCACTTCAGGAGGTGGTCTGGGCCGCATTCCAGACGAAACTGGACCAGTGTAAATGCATCTGGTTGTTGAAACCACATGTGTAAATTTTACTCCTCCCAAAACGTTAAAATAATAAACGTGTGAGCGTGTTATAGGCTATATGACATTATAGTCAGATATGACAGCGCTAATGCAACACGCGTGTTCTCCTATTGCGGTTTTTGATCTTGAAATATGCTGATAATTAATAAAATGCAGCGCTTATCTTTTGATTTCGTTGACTTGAACTCCGTTCAATTTAAATAGAGCACAGGAATTGAAGATCGGATTTAAATCCATTTTGCAACGACACATTTATGTGGCCAAGTGTAAATGGAAACATTTGAACAAATCAGATAGATATCCAATCAGCGAAAACACATGAAATGACCAGGTGTAAACACGCCCTAAGATGCATTAAGAAGTTTATTAGAAACACTTAAACTGTACAAGTATATCCTTCACAGGGTATACCTGAGACAAAATACCTGCAATATATTATATTATAAATTGTTATGTTATATTGTTATGGTCATGTTTACAGAGATGAACTGGCAGCGCGGATGGTCTTCATGAGATTTGAATTCTCCGTTGTAATACAACCTCTTGCATAACACAGCACACTGATTGGATCATAAGTGTTCGTTCTCATGAATAATACTGAGTAAAGCTCGGACAACTGATGACGTAGCTGCATACTCATTAGCCATGACAGCCAATCACCACTCCAGATTAACGTATATACGCCACTTTTCGTGATGTAGGTTAAACTTTGCTTTCTCAACCGAAATTGCTCCAAAAAATGAAAAAATAACCACTTTTCCCCTTAAAAAATAGACATAACGAGTGCTATTGTTTTCACTGATGTGCAACCTGTTCATATATGTTAACATCTCAAACAATGTGTTTTAGGGTTTCATGACACTTTAAAGTACAACAGTCATATGGGTTTCTTCAACAATACCATTTATTTCTGTAGAGCTGGACATTTTAATAAGGGGGCAATTCAACCGTTACGGATGTGACGTTAGAGGTCAGTGGCGGTTCGGAGCTCTTTCAGAACTTCCGGAGCATGACCACCCTCATGCAGGTCCTTCAGTGCCTTGGCCTGATGAACCTGCAGTAACGCCATAGTGTGTAAGGCAGAGGCAGCTTCTCCACAAGCCGTATTAAGCATCGCCGGTCAGACCAGACAAATGCTTACAGGCCCGGGAGGGGAGCAACAGGTTTCCCTGCCAGGAGGAGACGGTCTTAGGACACCACTGCATCGCTACCAAACGCTCCACTGGGGGGGATTGCCGTATACCCCCTAGCTGCACCACCGTCGAGGGAGGTGAGGGAGGAGGAACCAGCAGGTCAGTTTCTGGCAGTAAAAGGTGCTGTCCATGACCTGGTGAGCTCCTCATGCACCTCTGGGAAGAAAGGCACCTCGGCGGGGCGCTTAGAACAGCGCGGGCCACCCTGAGAAACCAATCATCCAACCTCGAGGGCTCGGGATGAGGTGGAGGTCTCCACTCGAGCCCTACCCTCTCGGCGGACCGGGAAAGCATAGCAGACATCTCCGGATCGGATTCAGGCATTGCCACAGTCCTGGAGGGCGGCAGTGCAGCCGAATCTTTCTCTACAGAGAGCTCTTCCTCCGATGCAGTGATCGACATCCGGTCGTCGGGAGGAGCACCGAAGGATACCGCTGGTACGCTCTTTGAAGAGGGCTCAACCAGGCTCAACTGGTTGCGAAGCGCTAGAGAAGCGATGGTCCCCCGAGGGTTGGTTCCCTGAGGGGTTTGCCACCACTGTAACCCTCAGACCGCCCGTGCTACTGCCGAAGTATCCTCGCCTGGCTGCCGCCAGGACAAACACTAGATCGGGGCAGAGGCAACGGAGCTCCGCCCCCCTGGAGAAAACGGAGTCTGGCCCGCAGCTCCGAGACGGTCATCTTCCCGCAATGGGAACATGAGTCATCCACGAACGCCACCTCAGCGTGTTTAATGCCCGGACACATGAGGCAGCAATCATGATCATCACCCGACGCCAAGTAACAACCGCATCCAGAAACGCACGGGTGAAACGGCATCTTTAAAAAGATGATCTGTCATCTTTACAAAGACGCACCTGTGTAAGCTATTTTAGGGAAATGCTTATTTAGGTGCGGAGACACACAGGGGAGATGGCCGCTTGCAGCACAACAGAGGGTAGTGCAGCCTAAAGTGCACAACCCACTCGACACAGGAACGACCACCACTGAAGCGCCGTCCGCCAACACAAAAAGCTCCCTAGAGCACATTGAACTTGTCGTCACAAACGAAGATATGGCAGAATGGTGTTATCGCTCGGCTCCGAAACCAAAAAACCTGGTATGCATTGCACTGGCTGCCTTTTTATGCTCATGCTGTGATCAGTGGCAGCTGGATGCAATCATCGCATGCCAATGTCCAGTGGCTTGTTTAGTTTACACTCAAAGTAGATTGGTCTCTCAAAGCGAGATCCCAATTCGTTGGTCACGACGTGACTCGACATCAAATTCAATATTCTAAAATTCAATATGCAGACATTCAAGCCAAAAGGCTTCGTTTTCCTTTTTGGAGATCATCTACTCTTCCCTGTGGATTACTTCTGAATTACTTTCTCTACGATCTGAATTTTAGAATATTAGATCCAGGAACATGTCGCACTTGGTAAAATCAGTTTCTGCTACGCCTGACACAGCAGTATACCTTTATCAGTAATCAGCAACGAGGCAAACATGCGCGCCGGTATGCATATGATTTAAGGGTGGAGGGGGTACAATGCTGTTTCATGCATTCAGAGTTGTTTACACTGTTAAAGAATTGAATTCTCATGCCAAGCATGGACAAAGTTTCAAAAATAATTTGGACATATGACTGTACCAAAAATCTTACTTCCGGGTTTGTACAAGTTTCTGAGAGTTTTTTTTAGATCGTGGCTCTTCATGACGTAGACGAGGATGGAACTCCTTATATTGGCATTTCTCCCGGAAGAGCGAGCCCGCGCACGCAATGACCAGAGCGAGAGCGAGAGCGCGCCCATCAACGCGCTTCATCTGGTGGCAGCGCTGCATGGGACTTGCTCGGGAAAAATGTCTCCAAAGAAGTGTTTTTGGTTGTAAAGGAAAGGGATAACCTTGTTCAACTCCCCGTAGAATCCAGCGTAATGTAAACAGTGGATACAGTTTGTTTTTCGGGGCAGCAACGGAGTTTCACAAGTGTGTTTGTTGACAAACGTTTTATAAACAAGGCCCAGTTCAACACTGGATTTGCACATCGTTTGATACTGAAAGATGGAGTGGTCCCAGCTATAAAAGATCCCGGTCATGATTCAGAACTGCAGACGGTAAGTGAAACGGCATCAAATGTCTGTTTTGTTGGCATTCGGCGCCCAAGTGCTCGTCACTTTTTAGCTCCGCCCACAGCGCGCCTCCAGGAGCTCGGCTTTTTCCGGAGATAATCGTAATTTGTAAATATGATAAAACTAAAGACTATTTGGAGATATGAAGGATGCAGTACTACTCTATAGGTACTCAAGATTAACATGAGATTGGGTGAAACTGTGTGTGTTATGCCCCCTTTAATATGAAGCGTCCGTAGTCTACAATAGATTTACAATGCACAAACCAGAAGCAACAATATCTACCAAATGGAGAAGGGTTGGCAATTCACAAAGTATAAAATTTTTTTGTTTTGTTTTTGTGTTTCAGAGGAAAAATCATACGGACGTGACAGTTCTGAAAGCGGAATTTATACGATTAATGCATATAAAATGCTAGAGATGGGACGTTTTACATTGAGACTCCGAAGCCTGTTTTACTCTATTGAAGCAGACTGGTTAGAAAGACTGTGTCGAGGCTTGTATCAAATCTCCATGATCATGTGACCGATGACGTTTGAGGCTTCATACGTCACAATTAAACACCTGAAGCGAGGTGACTGACTCGAATCTTTGGCGCGGCGTCATTCATTATAAGAAGACGCGAAATGCTTGATGTTCCCTCCCTGTTTCATAGCAACACTTTAATGTGTGGACAATGATTCTCAGAATGAAGACACAGCTGCTATTGCTGAGTATTGCTTTTGTGTTGAAACTGGAATCAATAAGATGTGTGAATCATTTGAAAGTG